GCAGACAAACTTGTCTTACTTCCTGTCTTCACTTCAGAGGCTTCACCAAGTTTTCCACTGTGGATCACGTGACATGTGCTATTATCATTCATCTGCTAAACGAGGTTGCTAAATTTTTGCGACACTTCATAGTGTAGAAATAGTTTTCAAATTCTTTTACAATCAACACAGTCTAAAGCCTTTGCAAAGTCGATGTAGCTGAGGTGGTGAACTGACTGCTATTTTATACCCTGTTCGATGATGATACGTAGTACTGCGAATTGATCCAAACATGGCTTGTCTTCAACTAGCAGTTAGAAATGATTTTCATGATGCGTACACCAAGTTTCTGACTGATACAGAAGAACTGATGCATCATATGGGGCAATATTGCTCTATCCAAAGAATGTTGCACCACTTTTCATACTTTCTTTTACATTTTCTTCAGCACAATTCATAGCCTTAACTTGAAGACATTTTTTAAAATCTGCTCGAGACTAGGTTATGATTTGTAAACTTAGTCGGATAGCTAAAACAATATAAAATACATTAAATATGAAGCATTTTGATAGATGAATGAATTAAAGAAAAAAAGCTAGTTGGTGGCTCAGTGATTTAAAGATACCGACAGGGAATTTTTTCCTAATTTAAGGTATGTAAACAATTTTGTAGTGTTAAGATTAATCTTTCATCAAGTACTTTTAATTTAATTTTCATATTTCATCTAACCAAAAACAACTTTTATATGCTTCCATTCTTATCCCTCCTTTCTGTCGATTGAACTTATCCATCAATTTTTGTTTAAGTGCATTAATTTCGTTATATGTCAATCACAGCGTTAATTTGAACACTGAACATTGAATGAGACTAACTACATTTTTTGTATAATTAATTCTGAGATCTTAAATTTTTTTTTGTCTGAATAATGGCAACAATTTTCTGCTAGTATTTCTTACTGTATTTTTACTGAGATAAAATCTGTTAAGGAATTCTGTGTGAATAAATATTTTGGAGCCATATACATAGGTTTCAAGATTTTTCTGCCCATTAGGGAAATTTATTCAACATTATGCCTGATGTAGTTCATTAAGTAGCAAGTGATGACAAATATACACCGATGATATTGAATGTTAGTGACGTTGTCTAGAGAACCACTAGAAGCTGGTACTGAATTGTAATTTGGAATTAGATCGCTCTCATCGGAGCATGACTTTTTTGTGTCCCATTTCCAGGAGGGCATGGTGATTACTTCACTTATTTGGGAAGTTACATCAGTCTCAACGTACCAATCGCTGACGAAATTTATGAATGGATAAAAAAAGACTTGTGTGGCATTTACCAGCCTATATTATCTTTGACGTGGACGTGATATTTGGCTGGCTGTCGATTAAATGACGTGTGTACTGCACAGCAGCAGTTCATGCCGTCCTCTTTTATGGCTGTTAGTAAGAAATATCCATCAAAAGTGCGAATAGTAGTTTCTTTTAACCTGTTGTCAATTTCTCTTTATTATACCGGTGTTCATTTGTCTCCCTACTGGGATAACCCATTTTGACTGTTGTATTTTGGAAGTATCCTTATTCATCTTTTAGGCAGTCATTGGTACAGATTCTTCTTGCTGTATCCGTGATTTTGTATTGGACTGGTATAGTACTAAAGAAATGTATATATCATCCTACAAACCAAGGATTTTAATAGGCATCTCTCTTGAGTGGACAATCATCACTTCTACTCAACTAGACATCAAACTAGTGTAATCTACCATCATGTTCTTTTTCACAAGTGAACGCATTTCCTTTTGGAAGCTGAAATTATTCTGATGACAGCTTGTGGTCGGCTTGATATCATAAACAGCAATCAAGAAAGCGAGTACAAGAAGCATGACGTCATATACTACTAATTGAAAGAGTGTGAATATTTCGTTACCACTCACATCAACCAGTATTGCTTGCTAGCCAGGTACGGTGCAGTGATCTAAGCAAACTTTCATGACTTTGCTTTCTTGATTACCATTGATGGCACCAAGCAGACGAAAAATTATTATCACCATCAGAATAACTCCATGTTCCAAAGGAGACAGTGATGAAATTTCACCTCGTCGAACTGTGTAGTCTGTAATTTTTGAACATTTATATACAAACTGAGAATCAGATTCAGTGTTAAGCCAGTCCATTTAAGTAGCTTGCAAGAAATTTGGTAGATCACTGAGGCTCTCGGCTTCATACTAGCTAAATTGTTGTCTGATGATTAAATCACTTGTTATTGGCTAGCAAGCACTACCTAACTGATGTGTGTAGTAGCCAACTTCTCATATCAGTCTGTCCTTCTCTTAAACCCTAATATTGCCTACGGATCAGAGATCTGGCACCAAATCACGAAGGGCACTTCAAACAAACTACAGACCTTCATCAACAACTGTCTTCTCTCACTACTACCCAAGAACAGATGGTCAGCCAGATTAGATCAGCAACAGGGAGGGGTCCCTGGCAATGAGCGAAACAACATAGCAGGAACCAAATGTGCAACAAATAAGAAGAAAGAAATGAAGTTAGGTGGATTCGCCATACTCTTAGGAAACCATCAGGTAGACCATCACTAGACAGGCCCTCGAGTGGAACCCGAACGGGAAGCTGTGAGTTTGTCGTCAGTGCGAGGGTGACACGGAGGAGGTCATGTGAAGAAGAGATGAAAAATGAACGAAATGGAGACGTGTGGCTAAAGCCCTTCGTTCCTCTAGGAAACAATAATAACATATAACTGTCTACGCTGAAATCTTTACGGTAAACCTTAATTATTCTGCATACGTAATTATCAACTGTTGGTTTGTAGGGATTAGATTGTTTACAGGTTTGATCATCAGTTAACATTGATTAGAAAACAACTGGGACTACTAGAAGTACTGGACAGCTGATTCGTCCTTGTTTGAAACTCCTCATGAGCATGCTAATCACGGGAAATCGAAATTCACAAGCTGGCGATAGTATCAAGTTCCACAAGGCTAAATGGTCTATGAATTCGTCTTGTAACTTGAAGGTCCTGGGTTCAAACCTCTACGGTGGGTTCATACTGCTGAAGCGTCCAAAACCAGAAAAATAGGTTTAATTTATAAGAAATGTTAGACTATGAAGGTAACTAAAATGGAAATCTGTAAAATGACCTGGCAAGAACCTTTGAGTTTTCAGATTTATCTCAAACTGCTTCCTCTATTAAAATTTTTAAAACAGTTAGAATCCATGGAAAGATCCGCTTTATAGTTTTATCAGTTTCCGTCTTGAAACAAAATACATATGTGCGTCGGTGGCACAGTGGTTAGGACTCTCGCCGACCATGCACATGGTCCGGGGTTCGAGCCCACGCCGACGCACACCTGATATCTATGGTCGGCCTGCGAATTTTGGGCTACCGATATCCATGCTGAAAATTCCACACTTGTACCAAAAATACGGTGTGGAGTCAAGCTGTAATAAAAAAAAATATATTAGACAGACACTTGCTTGTGTTTGCAGCCTTCTGGCGTATATTTTTGTATGCCAATGAAATCATAATTTTGCTATCAATTTTAAATGGATTTTCAACACAAATGTTAATTCAGTCAGTCTGTCCGTTACGAAACACACTTCCATCAGTCAGCTGTAGACTTTTATCAACAACTTCCTTCCTTCCTTCCTGGGTCCATATTGGAGATAAAATAGCCAAGAAGAAATAGCAGCATGAAACTATGGTAACGAACCAACCAAGCACATATTGCTCAAGAGATATTTAGATAAAAATTGAAACGGATTAAGCATACGCTTAGGAGACCGTCAAAGGATGTTACGCCAGGCCAGGTCATCGTTCATTGGGAACCTGAATGAGAACGATGAGTATAGCGTCATTACTCATATGAATCAGTAATTAACAGACCCATGCATTACCATAAATCAAATATTCCAACTGGTACAAAGTGAATCACAAAACAGCTAAAATTCTAATCCCAAGTCAATAAAAATGAGATAAAATAGAGATGTAAATTGACAACCAATGACAGCAATCGTTTTCAGGAGATGCAATAACATCACCATACTACAAGGAGAATTTAAATAAGTTCACTTCATACGAAAGCTTGCACGTTGAAGATTTTGTCTAGAAGTGGGAAAACGAAAGCTTCGTGATGAGACCTGTCATCCCACAGAACACAACTAAATCATAAATTTTCTATTAGTTGCCATTTGAATTCAAGTTCACCTGTAAATTTCGTCGAAGCAGTCGACATGCTCAGAGGAATTTTTTTCAAAACAGACAGTTCGCCGAAATATTTTCCATTTAATAGAACAGTGGTGTCAATTATAGAACTATTGGAAACTAGAGAATACTGTAGAACTCTTTAGTCCTTGTTTGGGAATCTTTAGCGGTAACAATACATGACTCCAGCGGAGGTCGAACCCAAGAACTTTAGATTATGAGACGAGTACATTAATCATTCAGTCAATGGTACGGAAGAGATGTCTTCTATTCCGTAGTTTCAAGTAGTCCGCTAACACTGAAGTCAATTTATGAACCCCTCTGAAAGGTACACTTGTAAGTTAATCTGATATTGCTCAGTAGTGACGAACAACACAGTAAAGCTGCCCTCAGTTCTAGTGATAATTCATATCCAGAAGGGTTCACCAAGTTGGATGTAAGTAGCTATCGTGACATTGACTGGCAGTAGCACTAAATATAGCCACTAGAAATAAGTTAGAATTTATGCATAAACAGATTCTGTTTCATTAGGTGAATGGTCAATGAGCTCACACTATGATCGTAACCCAATGGAATAATCACTGGTAAGTACTCTTGAAGATTCCGAAACAGAGAAGAAACACCCATCCAATACTCTCCAGACGTTCTCAGTGGTTTTCTTGAAGGAGAAGAAAATAACAATAATAATCGTAATAATAATAATTTTCGTTTGCCGATCACAGTTCTTGTGTTTTGTTTTTTTCGGAATTACTAATCCCCTTTTTAAATATTTTATTTTATTTTACTAAACACAACTACAGTTCAGCAACTGAAGTCTATAAACTACAATTTCGTGTCAAGAAACCAGAGGTTGATTCACCTGGTCGAGTTGCACCACGAATATTTTGGAGTCTTACAAGTTTGAGTCGACGAAATTCACCAGATCATGCTGTCAGTGCAAGTCCAGTGGTGACAAGGCTGAACATAGAACCTTCAGAGTTGAAACATATAACTATGGTGTTAAAAGTAAGCGAAATGGATTTTCTATTTTCTTAAAAATGTTTTGGGCGTTTCCACATAAATATTTTCATTATTCATTATTTTTATGGTGTCCATGCGTGTGTCTGTCTGTCTGTGTGTTAAATTAAGAAAACATAACTAATTCATTGGCATGAGAACTAATCAGAGTTAGTTAAATTCCCTGGGTGGTAACATCTTTTAAATTAGATATACGCGGAAAATAATAGGCGAACTAGGAGGATCAGAGACTTGGCCAGCGCGTCATAAAGAGCACCTCAAACAAACTTCAGACCTTCATTAACAGCTGTCTTCGCTCAATACCACTCAAGATCAGATGGCCGGCCAGAAAAGATCAGCAACAGGGATCTCTGGCAATGAGCGAACCAACCAGGAACCGATTGTGAAACAAATAGGCAGGAAGAAATAGAAATGGATTGGTTGGCCATACTCTGAGGAAACCATCAATTGACATCACTAGACAAGCCATCGCTCGAGTGGAACCCGAAAGGGAGGCGGCGAGTTGGTGGTCAGTGCGAGGGTGACTTGGAGGAGGTCATGCGAGGAGAAGATGAAAGCATGTGGACAGACCTGGAGCAGGGTGAAAAAGTTGTCAGAAAACAGACGGCAATGGAGGTGCGCAGCTGAAGCCCCATGTTCCTCTAGGAACTAAAGGATACAATAATAATAATAATAATAGGAGAAGGAGGAAATACGTTGATATCCTTGTTTCTTTTATTATTACTATTACTGTTATAACTATTATCTTTACTGATTTTATTCCATTTTACGTCACGAGTGAAACATATGGCTTCATCCTAGAGCTTCAAAGTTTCGTTAGCTGTGGGTTTGTTTTTCACTTTTTACCTTCCCCTTTTGCCGTCCTTAAAATACTGGCTAAGTGTGAGGTTTAGGAGTAGAGACTCCGGTCAAGGATCGAACCCTCGATCAAGTCAGAAAGTGTTAACGAGCATTTATCAACCTCATTTTTTTAAAAATTTCTTCACGTTCCAAGTGGAACATAGGGCTTCAACCTTGAAGCTTGAAGTTTATGTAACAGTTTATTTTTAGGAGATGGGGTTGCTAGTCTCATGCCCGGCCTCCTGTCTGTCTGTCTGTTTGTTTTCGACATAGAACTTTGCACATATGTGCGGCAGTTCAAGTCGTCACACTCCATGTAGCACAAAATGCAACACAAGAAAGTAGAAGAAATGCAAAATAGAGACAGTAAACAGAGGTGTGAGACAAAGGAATAGTAATAACGAATAACAATATAGTTTTATTGGAAATTATAAGTCACATGGAGTGGATGCATCTGCAACATTGAGAACGATTTTGATCCATGTCGCCAATTTTTTCCCACCATTGGTTTTTACCTTCACGAGGACCTCAACCAGTCAGGAAATCTACACCTTCATACGTGGCTTAAATTGACTATTGTGCATTTCATTGACTGGTGCCATGTTTTTGTTTGACCGTCGCTAGCTCTTTTCCAGCCTGACCCTATGTTAGCTAACATTGCCCATTTGTCGAGGAAGGCAATGACTAGTCATACGTAACACATGTCCTAACCATCACAGTCGATGTAAGTTCACAGCCTCATCGATTGATTTCCCCTCCTTATCTAGAACTTGACCCGTGACTAACCTCAATATTGCTCACCTTATTATACCACTTCACACGGGAGATAGAGCGCAGGCACCTATGATCAAAGACCCGATCTCCCTTCTTTACCAGTCCAATCGTTTGCTTAGCAAGGTAAAGGAGTGCTTCGGTGGCACAGATCTAACCCCGAACCACATTCGTGGTTGGCAAGGATTCTACCACTATGCCACCGACGCACACCAACCTCAATAGTAACTGTTATAAGCTTGTATCTTTGAAAATTCTTAGATTTTAAGAGGGGAATAATGAGGGTGTTGATCCACAGTAAAATAATGAATGTAGATTGTCATTTATTTGGTTGCTTTTTTGGCAGACAATTTACAACTGGATCAATGTTGATGAAAAGAATTTTTTCAACACTACTGAGAGGAACCTAGTAATCGTACATTCACAAAAATATACAGGTTACGGAATTATAAAAAAAATGCTGTAAATGGATCTCAAAGCAAAAGATGATAGAGACCTTCTTCTGTAGGATTGTATTGTAACAACAGAAGACAAGGGCCAGGCAACAGATCGTTTATTAAGGAAATCAACACATATTTATGTGTTTTCATGTACATTATTATAGCTTATTCAAGCAAACAAACATAGCCTTCTGATTGGTTGTTTCTCACAGAAATTTAACCTTGGATCTCTTTGTGACTGTTTTTTGAATGTCAGGTCATCTATATGTTAACTGTATCTGCCTACCCAAAGTCTGCTGTGATTGGTTGTTGAAGCAGTGTTGTTCATATTTTCTCTCGACCAATATTTGGGACATAAACACTGACGTAAATTAATGTCTACCAATTTGGCTGGAAGCCTGCTCTCACCACAGTATTAGATACTTTAACTGAATACTAGGCAGTAAGTATCTAGCCTCATGCATCTGGTTCTTGGTGTTAGTGACGACTGAATTCTATCATTCAAGTTTACATTACGTCCACCATTATACGTGGCTCGCCATCAAAGTGCACTGTTTTAATCTAATACAGTAGTCACGTCTCTGTCCGCAGTGGTCATCAGATGACACAGGTTCAAATCTCAGAGGGGATATGAATTCCTTCAAGGTCTCCAACCATCCAATAACAACAGTTCTGAGTGCATCATAATGGTGAACCATCTAGCATGGTAGCCGCATTGTGCACAGTGAACTGACAGGATTCAGTCCATACAAAACAAAGGACTAGATGAATGAAGTTGTAGATTCGACAACAGGCGAGGTTAGTATTAGTAGCTGGACTTGTTTCTTTTGCACACACAGTACTGGCTGGAATCTTAAGTGAATTACAATCGGCTATACTGTTTCAACAAGTATTCCGTATTTGGAGGTCTCTGGTAATTTATTCCATAAGTGGTAGATGATAGAAAAAGACTCTTATTTGGGTCTGGTAGTCTAATACTGAACTAATAGTTGTATTTACTACACCTTTATTTAGCCATACTAATAGGTCATTGAATTGAATTCTTGATTTTCCCGTCGATTGATTGGACCGAAGTGCTCGGTCTCAGGTTGACATGTCGGCTTCTTGTGCAGATGCTTCGACGATGTCCGGGCATTTAGTTAGTATACAATTGGTGGATGGTGGCTAGCACTGGAATCCAGGATGCGCATTTCGTCCTATTTCAAGAATTCAATTCAATAATTAATATGACCCGTTGCACAAGAGGTGACTCTCGTGGCCCTAGTGGTCTAGTGGATAACGCTTTGGCGTTTGAAAGTATGGGTACTGGGTTTGAGCCTCGGTGGGGACATCATCACTCACTGAAAATTGCAGGTACATCCAGATGACGAGTCCCATATGGGACGAAATGCGCATCCTGGATTCCACTGCTAGCCACCATCCACCAATTGTATATTATTAGGTCACCTAAAATACTCACTGAGTCATGAAGAAAATGAAAGACAAATTCAGCGAAGAAAATTTTCTTTATCGACGAAATCATCTTCGGAGGCAGTACAGTCGTATTTATGTTTACCAAAAATGTAAAGTGGTCTATTATTGAGTAATAGAGGGCGATATAATTGATACAATTACTCAGAAATGGTTTTAGAAGTAAAAAATAAAAGTTGTAAATCACGTGTAGTCAACGATACAAACTTAGAAATTTGATAAGGTTAAAATTGCTCTTAAGTGAGAATAAGAGTAGTTGAGTGTAAATTTAACAAGTGTGAAGAGGGTGTAAAAATGTACAAAAGGAATATATGAGAGTGATAATAGTGAATTAATTATTAAAGCAAAGGCGGGTGCGTACTGTTGAAGAGTCCCAAACTAGGACGAAACAGCTGTTCAGTACTCCCAGGTTTTCCAATGGTTCTCTAACTAATGTCAGCTCATGATGAAATCCTGGAACCAATCAAATCCCTGCTAACCAACACTTAAAAGTAAAATTATAAATTATAAAAAGAAAAGAAAAACATCAAAATGTTTTTTTACTGAGAACGACTAGTGAAGATGTTAAGACCAGGGTAGAATAAGAGACTGGACGAACATTTTCTATATACAGAGTTCAGGTTTGTATTGACGAATTGCCGGCGCCTACGCCATACACAAAAGCCAAAACCTGACGCCGTTTGTACCATTGAAACTCACCTTGTAGATGATCTTGAAAGACAATTCTGGTGGAGCTAAGTGGCTTGAGTTCATCAAGGGCTCGAGAATCGGGTCAGTAATCGTGTTCACAATCAGGGAAAACTGATTTCTTAGTGCACCGACTTATGCTGTCTTTACTTCCAATAATAATTCTTTGATTATTATTCATATAACTCTAGAACATTATGAAGAAGAAGTCATCAGAGAGAATATTCTTTGTTTTCATTAATCTGCCTTTTGAAGAGAGAATTATAGATCAATAGTCTGCGATTAATAAATTACATGGTAGAAACTATTGAATATTCCTCATTGTTAGAATTAAAACAAGAACGCTAAGTCGGATATTATATTCTCTTCAAGTAGGTCTCCGTAAGACTTTAACTATGCCTAACTAGCCCATGATGAAATGCTCCAACCAATGAAAAAAATCCCTACAGAAATCAATACTTGAAAACTGATCTGATGTTCACGAGCAACCGGCATTATTCAGGCAGTGACCTGGTATCCCAGTTGGAAGCCACGAACAGTAGCGTTCAGCAGGTTGAAGGTGAGTCAGTAACTCATCGAAGAAGACATTGCGAAGTGGTCACACTATGTTATGAATTGGCAGAAGTTAGAATTCATGGGCTGACCGCTGGATAGGGTCCCAGTGGATTAATGGTAAGCAAGCTAGTTCGCTTTTTATCCAGAAGGTCTTGGGTTCCTACCCCGATGGGTACGTACTGACGAAGAGTCCCAAACTAGTGTGACGAAACGGCCGTCCAGTAC